TGACTTAACTATTTAATCATTTCCTTGTATGTGAATGCCTCCATCCATCAAATATTCATGATGGTCATGATTATTATGCAATATGTTTGATGTCATATTGATATAACAAACAATTGCATCGCCCAGGTAGTAATGATACCAAGGCCATGCATGAATGAAACTTTTAATAATGCGTGTCTACCCAGATCTCTGGGGTTCACAATAATAAATTACAATTATGGTTGCTCATGAATAATAAATCTGATATTGATTGCAGGTGTCAGATTTAATTAAAATTTCCTGTTGCAAACATGTGGTTATGTGCTTTCACACGCCTCATAACTGTGGATTTTTTTCCACAGGTGAGGTCCCCCACATGTTAGAAGGCTTTGGACAAAACTTTTACTTATCTTCCCCTCAGACCAGGCTTGGCTGTCACCATATGAGCATTGATTGCTGATGAGAGTTGACATTCATGTGATGTGTGATGTTTGCTTTGCGTTATACCTCTCACTAGAATAAAGTTGGTGTTAAGACTGGCTTGAAAATTCAGCAACTTAGAGGTTACAACCTGGGTTGTTGTTTTGGATTTTCCCTGAATTCAGAGTTTTGAGTCCTGGGTTGCTGTAATTTTTTATGAAAAGAAAAGTATTAATATTTAACAATTAATTATTTAAATGTTTATTTTGTTGAAAAAAATATACATTTAAATAATTACATTTTATGTGCTTAACATCCATGTGACCCTAAATCTGGACAAAAGATCCCTTTCTATGAGTTTTGCTGGTATATCTCAAAGGCATCACCTGTCTTGTCAGTGGCATACCTACTCACCAACAACCCTACCCCCATTTGAAAAACAAATTCAGTTGGTCAAACAAAAATTAAAGAAAAGCAGAAAATTTGGGAAAATGATTAACTTGTACAAAACATACCATTTTATGACTTTTTTCTTGTTGGCCATATTGCTGACAAAGATGTATATAGTCATGCAATAATTTTAATCTATACAACAGAGGACTAAATTGGGCAAAAACCCATCCAGTCCCCTAACCAAAATTATAAATTGGTTAGTATCAGACAAACATAGAATTTATGAAAGTGATTATACAAAACAAACACTATTTTACAACTTTCCTCTTAACATCAGAGCCAAATGCAATTTCAGGGTCACAAACCCTGCTCTGAATTGTGACCTCCTGTGCTTGAAACAAGCTACAGATTCTCTTAATATTCATCAGCAGAGTTGCAACTTGGCCACAGAGCCATCCTCACCCTAGAGGTGGGATCATTGCAGGCAACTTTTCGACTAGCATGCCAGCGGCCTTCTCTGGTCTGGTGAGATTAGTGAAAGTGTCCTTGACAATTGGTGCAGTATCGGTAAACTCCAGAGCCATACACTCCCCCTGGAGTTCCGTTGCATCATTGTATCATCGGAGAGCCATGGTCAGATTAGCCTTTTGTACATGAGGAATACGTGAGAATGACTGTAATGTGTTCAAGGCAGCATGTGTGCTTCAACACCTGTAAATTTCCGATAATCAAACATTGCATACTCGAAATGTTTCAATTTAAATGGTGTGCTGCCTTGATATCTTGTGATTATAATATTTATAATAATATTATTAATGGTCACAAAAAACAAAATATTATCAATGAAAATCCTGTAATTACCCAGCAAGATCTGCTCTGCGTTTTGATTTCCAATTAAAGTATTTATATAAATTAAAAAAATATCAATACAAATAAAAAATAGTACCTCTGATTAGTTATTAACATGTCTTCTTTAGGAGACCCAAACCAAACCAAACCAAACAACAACACTCACGTTTTGTCACCTTGGACTTTGTCAAAAAAATAAATTGTTTTTTGTTTTTCCAAAAAAGAGAAAAAAAAAATCAATTCGCATCTGTCCTACCAAAAAAAAAACCAATAGGATAAATAATCAATGTGTACATGTCGATCATTCATAAACTTCTTTTTTAATTCTTTGTAATAAAAATGCCACCAAAACGTAAGCAAAATCAAAGAAGTACCAACAATAATTGGGAAGAAGTAGCTCGGTAAGTGTTTTAATGATGGTGGTGGTGGTTATCGCCCGCCACCTGTCATTACTCTAGTTTATTTAAAAAGAATGGTGGTGGTGGTTTCAGTGATCTCTGCAACTCGTCATCACTCTAGTTGCTCTTACAAACCATTTTAGTTAAGTAATTCTTTTGTTTCTTTGTATTTTTTAGGAAGGTCAATAAAGGAAACGATGAAAATAAAGTAAGTAATAAGTAAAATTTTATTCACTTCAAATGGATAAGACTATTTAATGAACTTGAATTCACATAGGAAAATGAATCAATGATAATGAAGAAGGACCGGGAGGAATTCAAAAGAGAATTCAAAGCCATGAAAGATGAAGAGAAATGGGTACTTTCAACAGGGAAAGTTGTAGAGGACCGATTATATGCTTTTGGTTCTAGGTGTACCCATGAGCAGTATGTATCAATCTTATATATTACAGTGATTTATTTAAGGATGTTAACATATTCACTATCTTTCTCCAAAGCCTATGTCATTCTTTTATATTAGACCCAGAAGATATTATTTATTTAAAAAATTCAATATTTACGAAAGAAGAATTGACAGAAATAAGTAACTATCAGATAAAAAAATTACCAAGGATTTAGTGTTCCATGTCGCAATCCAAAAAAGGAAACCAAAGTGGTTGCAAAGTGGTTGCAACCAGGTGTTGCAAACCATTTTTATATGTCGCAAATATGGTTGCAACCATCACCAAGAATTGCGACCAGCATCTATACAAGGATTGATAATGAAGTCTTAGAATATTTGAATAGTTTTCGTACTGTAAGTTTTTGTCTAAAGTGATGTATTTATCAACCATGTTATGATGTGCTCAATAAATTCTTCTGTTTTAAATAGAATAACACAAAAGATCTGAGAAAGAATATTTTTAAAAAGGAATTGTGGGATGACTCCTATGACATAAAAAAATATATAGATGTGGATTGGGTCCGAAATAGTGTTTATAATCTGTAAGTATTAACATCATAGTTTTTAAGGTTAAAACATGTATTTTAATTGTATTTTTTATTTTATTTTGAATTTTGAAGGCTCCTTGAATATGAGAATAATTCATTGGATAAACATCACTTGGAAATGTGGTATAATCTACATGTCTGGAGTATGATGGATAAAGCATTTGAAAATCTTGAAAATGTGGAGGCTGTCAGGTTAGAACAGTTTTTTTTTTTTTTTTTTGATTTTTATTCATAGTCTTTTTTATTTCACAACAGAGGAGAGTCCTGCAGCATCTCTTCTTCAAACCGTAAAAATTCCGAAAGGGTTGTCCCTGCAACCTCTTCTTTAAAAAGAAAGATCCTAGGTAGTAGGTGTGATCTGATAGTTAGGAGGGGGTTCCTAGAATTCGTGTGTTCAGAAGTAGAAAAATTCTATGAAGGCCCAAAAGGGACTAAATTATTAAAGGAAAGTTCGTTGAAAATCCCCAAAGTTTTAAAAGACATGTTGTATGATTTACACCAACATGTGAACTTTGATGAAGATTCTTTAAGAAAAATGGAAACTATAGGATTTGCACATGCTGGTTTGCATTATGGTTTTCTGTATATTAAATTTATGACTTGATTTGATAATAATAACTAAATGAATATGATACCAAATGTTAATAGGGTTGAAAGTAATCATGTTAAGGTTGGACTCCCCAACTGGATATGTTTGTAGGGTATTAAGAACAAATATGTTTGAAATTCCTTCAAACATTAAAGAATTTGGTTCAAAAGCTTTAAACGTGTTAGTTATGGCTTTAAAAGCAAAAGTGAGTGTTATCATTTATTGCTTTTTTATAATTTTATTGATATTGTAAACTTATTTTTAATTAACTATTATTCTTGTAGTTAATTGTACAAAAAAACATAGAGCTTCTTGAACATCAGGGCTCAAAAGAAGCTGAGAAGCAACTTCTAGACTTACAAGAATGTTGTAAAACAACAACTAGCACAACAAATTTGTTCTTTAAATTACCTCTCACATTAAGTAAAAATTATCCATGAAAAAATTTTACTTTTTTCTGTTATTAATATTAACAACAAGTCATACAAAAAGAGACTTTATTTTAATATTAATATTAATAATTCGAATGAATGGTTGATCTTTCTGAAACATATAAATTTTATCATATATAAATTATTAGCTGCAATAAATTAAAAAAAATTGATGGTGTCAATATTAAAACTTTTTAAAACATTTAACAGTGAACTTGTGAAACTATTTTTGTTTGCGAACAAAAAAATAAATAAATATATACTAGAGTTTGGATCCGGTTTGAAAACAGATAACTGGTTCCAAAAAAAAAAGGATTGAATCCGGTTTCAATCCAGTTTGTCAGTTTAGAATCCGAATTTGAACTGGTTTGACAAAAATAAACCAGATCCAAACTCTAATAAATACCGTACTCACTCCATCCATGTTGTACTAATTTCTTAAACAGAATAAATAAATGCTCAACAATTCTTGTTTGGAACAAAATTTTTTTTTTTTAAAAAAGGATACTAATGAATTAATTAGCAGAAATGGTTTGAATATTAGAATTACTGATTTATCAAATGAAACATATTGATCCCTGAAATTCTTGGTAATACCAAATGTTCACTTTGTCTGGTTTTGTTGCAGCATGCCCCATATAAGACAAACAGTGATGGCAAAAAAACTTTATCCTAAAACATGGTATGTTGTACCAAACAATAATTTTACAACAATTTTTAGAAAAAGGTAATAAATTCAATATATTAATTAAATATAAAGACAAAAAGCAAGAAAAAAATAATGATGAAATATTAAAATTATTAAGAAAAGATCAAACAATTATTATTTTTTTAACAATCAAAATAATAATATTATTATTTGTAATAATTTTAATAATTTTTTACAAATAAGTATTATTTTTGTTTCTTGTCTTTTTTTTTGGTTAGGAATTTTTTATCAATTTGTAAAAATTAAAGGGAAAAGTTTTGCTATTATTAATATAAATAAAGCTTTTGGTATATAATTATTGTACATATATATAATATTTTTGATATTTTTTTTTTTTTGTAAAAAAAAAATAGTGCAGCACATACAAAAATTTTTCAATATCATTTCTTCTAGGCAATAATTTAGATAGTATGTGAAGTGAATTATCCTGAATATATATAGCCAAGTGCTTTATGTGGTTAAAGCAAGAAAAAAAAATATTTACATGGATGGTTCTTCAAGAAAAATACATGTTTTTAATAATTGTCTGTCTTAAGAAAATTGACATATAATATTATTAACCAATGCCACAAGTAATAATCATATGAAAGCTAGAGTCTTCAATAGTTTGTGATGTGAGGCATAATTCATGATGCAGAATAATTCATGATGTGAAGCATACTTCATGACACGGGACATAATTTGTGACGCAGGACTAAGGTTGCAGGAGAAACTCCTCCAGAAATCAATCGACAGAGTTTTGACAGGTTACACATTAATTGTTTATTAGAGTTTCGGCAGAGTTTCGCATTTGGGGTTTTCGCCAATCATCAGAGTTTCGACAGGTTACACATTAATTGTTCATTAGAGTTTTGACAGAGTTTTGACAGTCATTAAGAGGTTTCGCCCACAACCTTACGCGGGATGTAATTTGTGACATGGGGCATAATTTGTGACACAGGGCATAATGATGCGAAGAAAACACAATCCTGAAATCATTTTTTTAAATTCTGAGGATTCCATTGATATCTTATCAATATATAGGATTTTGAGTTAAAGACTGGTGATGTCTTTAGATGATTGCCACTATAGGACATTTTATTTAAATGATTGACCTAAAAATCATTACAAAAATAAGTCACTTTTGACTAAGTGAAAAAAACATCAGGTTAATTAATAAGTAGAGGAAGAAATGTTTATTTATTTAATTCACTTGTAAAAATAATTGTATAAAATAGCACAATTAGCACAAAATTTAGGAGACCTTTAGACCAAGCCAACTATATTAATTACAAATTTTATATCTCAATAAGGAATTTTGTGACATTAGAATTTCTATTTTCACAAGGGTTAACCATTAGAATTATTTTAATAAGGAAATGAATGTGAGAAAACAAATGAGTATGAGAGAGATAATGACATTAGATCATTGTTTTTACAAGGGTAACAAGGAATTATTAAAGATATTAATATATATATACTACTATTTTTAGAATGTTAATCATATTGTTACCATAAACAAGACCTTTTCAATATCTTACAAATTCCGTATTAATTCCATATTAATTCCATACCCTTCATTACAGTTTTAAAAAATGGAAATTTTTTACAACATACATAAAATACTGAAGTTCCGTAATTTATTTTATATGTCAGTATAAAACATATGGAAATTCCATATTTTATTTTTTATAGGGTATTTCGCGTAACAAATATTGAAGGATTTATTATTCCACAATGCTATTTATTTGCAAATTTCAATCATTTAAAAATTATATCAAATTTAATTACCAAATTTTTTGTTGAAAATTTTTAAAGATTTTGTTAATTTTTGTTTAGTATATTTAAAATGTCAAATTCAGTTGATTTTTCTGGCAAAGCTTCCAATATTCCAATGCAAGTTCAGCCAATGGAAATTTTTGAAATATCTTCAGATGAATCAATTAATAGTGATAAAACTGAGAGTTATGGAGATGAACAAAGATCACATAATAGAAAAACTATTGATCCTGAATGGATTAAATCATATCCATGGTTAAGAGTTGAAATTGTTAATGAAGAAACAACCCTATATTGTGAAATATGTAGAAATCAAAATGGGGAAACAAGATTTGCAAGAGGCACATCTAGTTTAAGATTATTAAGAATTAAAGAACACTTAAAAACCAAAGAACACAAAAAATCTGAAGAATTACTTGAAGCAGAACAATTTCAATCAATTCAATCAAATCAATTGAGCACATGTAAATTAACAATAATTTCATTAATGAGAATTATTATTTTTGCTCAAAAAAATTTATTTCATTGAATATTTATCCTGATTTATGTGATTTAATGTCACTACAAATCAAAAATCAAAAGGAGTTAGTAATCAGTGGTAAAAGCTCCAATTTAAAATCTGCTTCCATAAAAAAACCATCATCATCTAAATCAACTTATGGAAGCTATACCAGTGATAAATCTGGTTTTGAGTTTTTAGAAAGCATAGTTTCTGTTATACAAAAGGAGCTTTTTGAAGAATTGAATTTATCTCCATATTGGAGTGTGTTGATTGATGAGACAAACTCTGTTGATAATAGTAAATATCTAGCAATTGTAGGAAAATATATGGTAGATAATATACCATATATGAGATATTTAGGAATGATTGATTTAGAATCTACCACTGCTGAAAATATTTTCAATCAAGTAAGATTATTTTGTGACAATAATGAAATATCTTCTCAAAAAATAATTCATTTTGGAAGTGATGGTGCATCTAATATGATTGGTTATAGAAGTGGTATTGCTGCAAGGCTTAAAAAAATGAATCCATTCATGTCATCTAATCATTGTGTATCACATAGGCTTCATCTGGCTGGAAAAGATGCTTCAGATGAAGTTTTATATTTTGAAAAATATGAAGGAATTTTAAGAAATCTTTATGTGTATTTTTCTAAATCACATAAAAGAAAAAATATTCTAGAATTGATGCAGGGTATTAATAATGAACCATCATTAGTAATATTAAACTTATGTGATACCAGATGGTCGTCTTTTTCCAACTCTGTGGGGAATTTATATAGAATAATGGATTCAGTGCTTGCAGCCCTCAATGAAGGAGTTGAAGAAGGTGATATACAAGCTGAATCATTATACAACCAGATAGATGAAGATTTTATTTTAGCAACAATGTACTTTGCTGATTTAACAGATATTCTAAAAAAATTAATCAATATATTTCAATTGGATTTTTTATCATTCTCTCAATTTAAAACAGAACTTGATATTGCAATTGGTAAAATAGAGTGTGAATTTATTCGTAATGAAGATTTTCCACCTAAAAATGGTTTAATCTTCAAGAATTATTTAAATCAAAATCAACATGATCCTCCACTATTTGTAAAAGAATATTCAATTGCAATAATTAATGCTATTAAAAAAAGATTTCCACAATCTGAATTATATGGCTCATTTAGCATTTTTGATCCAAAAGAAATTCCAGATGATGATAACCAACTAGACTTATATGGAAATAAAGAAATAGAATTTCTTGGTAAATTTTATGGAGAAATTAAAATCATAGATGGAGATGAATTCCAAGAAATTATTCATAAAGATACACTTAATGAAGAATGGCCTTTAGTAAAAAATTTTCTCCGTTGTAATAAACTCACAGAAACAGGTTTTATTAATTTCTGGAAAAATATTTTTGATTCAAATGAGGATTTTTCATTTAATTATCCAAATATAGCTCTTCTAGTTAAAATAGCACTTATTATTCCTCTTTCAAATGCTAATGTTGAAAGAATATTTTCTCAAACAAAATTAATTAAGGATAAAATAAGAAACAAAATGAATATTAGCACATTAAATAAACATTTAATTATTAAATTAAATGGACCTGATATTGAGGATTTTAATTTTGAGAATGCATATGAACATTGGATAAATAAAAAAAGTAGAAGAATTTTTTTTTAGAAGTAATTTTTGTAATTTAAAAAAAATAAATCGGAAAAAATTTTTTTTTTTTAATTGGATAATTTGGATGTGCGCAAAAAAATTCTTGCAGATCGAATTTCGAACACTGCATATGATAGTAATAGAAATAGGTTGAGTCAAATGCGATTAAGAGACTTGGGAATTGAGCAAATTAATTTTGACATGAGAGAGAATTTATTGTCAGTATTTTTTTATTTTACTATTACTATTACATGTGAATGATCAACATTACAAAAAAAATTTCTTTTTTTAATATAAATAAAATTTAATTAATAAAACAATAAAAATATATAAATTATTACCAAAAAATAATTTTACTTTACAATTAAATATCATTCATCATCTTCTGAGTCAATAATTGAAAAAGGCTCTGTTGAAGAAGTTGTTTTTGGTAATAAAGTTGTTTGAGAAATGGGCGTAGAAATGGGTATTGTGTGACTAATTGTAGAGGAATTATTGCTATCAGCAGATTCAACTTGATCATTGGAAGATGTATTGGAATCCGATGGAGCCTCTGGAACTTTGGGTTCTTTTGACAAAGTAACAGTAATAGATTTTCCTTTGTGTTTGTTATACATTTCATCATATTTTTGTAAAGTTGTTGATAAGTTATCATTTAAAATCAAAAGTTTCTCTAAAAAATCATTGATATCATTTATATCGTTGAAAGAAAATATTAAGTTTTTTTTTTAAAAAATAAATGACTTTATATTATTTGATTAATAATGATTCTCACCAAGTAAATTCTTTTCAATAACAGATGAAAGATATGGTGTTATTTTTGTTTGAAGATTTTTACATTCATCATATAATTGCTTTTTTTAAAAAAATAAGGTTTTTAGTATCATTATTATTATAATAATTAAAATAAAATCATGATGTGTATATATATGCAAATACCATTATAACTTCATTTGGAATTATTTGATTGTTATTATTATTATTATTATTACTATTTGATTTTGATTTTGATTCATCATTTACCATCATTTCTTTTAAAAGGCTTAGACTTTCTTCAGCAATTTTAATATCTTTTTTTAAATCATCCAAATAAATTCCTAATCCCGTCTCTGAAGATTCAGCTTCATCAAACGAATTTGACAATCCAGAAAAAGACTTTGTTTCAAAGTCCGGTAATAAATAATTAAAGTCTCCATTTTCTGTATCACCCTTCTGTGCCAATTCAGTATTTCTAACACATGCACGAAGAATGTCTCGAGAAAGTCTTGACATTTCTGCATCATTAGGCTTCACATATTGAAATATTATAAATATATATGTGTATGCGTATTTGTGTTAATATTAATTTTTTAATAACTTACTTGAACATTGACATCTAAAACACGAACACTATGATTCATCTTTATTGAAACCGCTAATGCCATAAGTCCTGCAATATCAATTCCTGGGTTAGATGTAAGGTCTAAATGAGTTAAAGTCCTGGTTTCTGGAAGATATTCTGCAAGAGCAATTGCACCTAAAATAAAAATAGTTAATACTAATTTTTTTTTGAACGTCGAAGAAATTTAATATCTATACATTAAACACCTTCTGTCATTAAATTTACATCTGATAGGATCAATTTTTTAAGAGAATCATTTACTGATAAAGAATTTCGAAGCGATATTATCTATATTTTAAAATGTTTAAAACACGTTTAAATATAATTAAATAGAAGCATATCAAGAAAGATACATAGCATACCCCTTCTGCTGAAAAACCTCCAACATTGTTCCTGCTTATATCGAGTAATTCCAATGTATAATTATATTTCTTTATTTGTTAATAGAGATTTTATTAATAGCTACTTTAATATGAAACAAAATTCTTTTAATTGATACTATTCAACTTACAAAACCATCGGCCAAATTTAATAAGCCTTTTGAATCAATTCGATTATCTAGTAAATATAGTTCTTTTAAACTTCGATTTCTTCTTAAAGCCTGGGCTATATATTGTATGCCACCCTATATTTTAGGAAATGACTATATTAAATTTAAAGTATATAAAATATATACACATGAACATATATGCATGTATATGATGTTACCTTTAAATCATTACCACTAACATCTAATACTTCCAAACCCTGTCTTCTATTTCTTGATCTTTCGGCTTTAGCCTCTTCTTGTTCGTTGAATGCTGGCATAGTAGAAACTGAAATTGATGGATTATTGGGAGTCCAATTAAAGTCATCGTAATCGCGTAACATAACACCAATCCATACAGCACCAACATGATTGATATTATTAAATTTAAGTGACAGATAATGTAAATTTGATCTTCGAATTCCGGGACCTATAAGTTTTTTAAGGAAGAAAAAATATCATCATTTATATTTTATTTTACTGGTAATGCAATAATAATACATACCCAAAACTTCCAAAACATTGTTCTTTAGTGCACAATTATCTAACTTGAGTGTTTTTAGTATAGCACCAGATTTACTATTTCCTTGTGTTAAAGCTTGTGCTAAAAAAGTAGCAGATTTTTTGTCAATATTTGTTCCAGAAAGATCAAGATATGTCAAAGTTGTAGACTACAAGAAAAATTAATTATAATCATCATTAACAAATTATTATTATATGATGAAGAACATTTATAATTATTGGTGAATAATTTACCTTTTTAATATAAATTGCTATATAATTAAAACCATTGGATCTTATTCTTCTATTATTGGCCAAATTGAGATATGCCAATTTATCATTCACAAGTAAACTATGGCATAGAATTTTTAAAGTCTATAAAGAAAAAATTTGATTGAAGATTAATCTATAGACTTTTTAAGAAAATAATGATGATGATAATAATAATCCATACATCATCTTCTAATTCACACCTCTCTAATATTAATTTTTCCAAGCCAAATTCAAGTGTAAGAACATCTGCTATAGGTTCAGCAATGTTGCGATCAATAATATCACCTAAATAAATAAAATAAGCATTTATATCGAAAATTGCCATTTGTCAATAATATATAATTATTATTATTATTATTATTATCATTATTGTTATCATTATTGTTAGAAAAAATTTCTCTAGTTATTATAAATTTGCAAACGATTAATATCCAACCTGTCAAATCAATAACTTTCAAAGATCCTCCTTGCTGATTTGCTTTCTAATTAATGAAAATGAATTAAAAAAATTATTTAAATTATAAAAAAAAATCTATTTAAACATTTACATAGTTTACCCTAAGGATATCCACAAGTCGATCGACAGGAAATTCTTCTCGAATTTTACAGGCAGAAAGATAAAATTGCATTATATCTTTAGCCGAATAAGATGTTTTCTGATCCGATTTTGGTTGCAATTGCTGATTTATAGGATTTTGGATATTACTCCATTCATGGAAATCGTATTCTTCTTCCCAATCACTATTATCACTATCACCGGGGATTGGTGAATGTGGATGTTCATTTGTTAATTTATTTACAGAAAATCGAACCCGTTTAAGAGTTTTAGGGGTGAGAAGATTGTTGTTATTTGGGGATGACGATAAATTTTCATTATTTAATTGCGAAACCTGTTCTCCTGGTAAATCATTAACATTCAACACATTTAATTTGGGGTTTTCTTGTTTTTCTTCTTCTTCTTGTTGTTGATGTTGTTGATGATTATGATGTTGTTGTTGTTGTTCTAGTTGTTGTTCCTCTTCTTGGAAATTAGCAGCAGCAGCGATAGCAGGAGCAGCGGTTGCGGTGATAGCAGTAGTGCTTAAACGTTTCAATGTATTTGAAAAAAAAGAAGCGGCAGTGGATGATGAAGCGGTCGAAGTAGTTGTAGCTGTAACGTTAACGACATTTTGAAAAGCAGCAAACCAATCACGTCTCCAAGTTGAACGCGTGCTGGGCTGAGGTGCAGGTTTTAGTATGCCTTTTTGTGGAGGTTTAGCATTTGCGGTAGAAATTGGACGTCGGTAGGGTATAGGCTTTGATCTTGCTGGTTTTTCGATATTTTGAGACTCGTCATGATCATCATCAGTCAAAGGTACAGCAGATGAATCTAACATTCACAACAAAAAAATAGAACGATGTATATAATAAACTTGATGAATTGATTGATTTATTAATAATGAAACGAATTCCATGAAATTAAAGAATTACTATTGTTTTCTTTTTCAAAAGTTTCTTCTACATTTTTATTATTATTGATTTTTTGATCCAATAGCCATTGTAAAATAGACTCAAATCCGAGACCCTTATTCTCATTTATAGCAGTTTCAGCAATAGACTGCTCAAAACCCATTGACACCAATTGTAAGAGGACATCATTCGAGTTTATTGTACTGTCTTCGTTCTCATTTTCTGTTACTTTCTTGAGAACTTCCTCTTTTTCTTTATTATTTTTAGTAGTAGTAACAGTAAATGATCCTGAAAAACCGCTTTCCGACTCTACTGTACTCTCAACATTTGCTTGATCACTAGATAAGTTTGGCGTGTTATCATTTTCTTCAAGCGAACTAAGCATAATTAATATATATATATATATTTAAAATTTTTTTTTTATTTTCTATATACAACTAATAAATACCCATTCATTGGTGAATTAAAATCGAAACATATTATATTCCAACTGAATTTTTAAGGTTTGTATGACATCCATCACAAATCCAATTTTCCGATTAAGGGAATAATAGCATGAACTTGACCGTTAAAGACATTTTTCAATAAACGAAATTTGTTTCTTTATAATAATACTATATAAAACTATGAATATATTGCTGAGAGCCATAATTTTCATTGGTGTAAAAAAATCAATCGTTTACTAATGTTGTATACAACCCTTCATTTTCCCATTATTATAATTATTATAATTTCCATGACGGCAACTAAAAGTTGGATCACCTAATATTATTGGATAAATTTTATGTCATGTGATATCTTCTTTTGTTTGGACAGTATATAATATATATACTTGACATGTATTATAGATTTTTTAAAACATTAGGAAAAATTTATTCAAAATAAACAGAAATAATTAATATACTGTATGTGTATATTTATTTACTCTATTGCTATATATATATATATTTTTCCTAACCAACCAACTAAACTAACTGAACATAATTTCTCTTACTCTATCTCACACACACTATATTATATTCTATATTTATTTCTTTGAACCATGAACGGTGACATTGAAACTAATGGTTACAGGTAATTCAACTTCCTTGCCTTCGATTTCAACCTTGATTTTACCTTTTGTATTAGTTGTTGTCCATCCATAACCAGTAGAATATTTATGAGGTTTTGCATCCATAGTGTACAAGATTTCATCATTTGAAGATGAAGAAGATTCACCACTATTTCCATTATTTGATGTTTCTTTACTTTCTTCTTCTTTTTTATCGTCTCCTTCTTTTTTATCATCAACTTCTTGTTTTTTATTTTGTCATCTAATCATTGTGTATCACATAGGCTTCATCTGGCTGGAAAAGATGCTTCAGATGAAGACTTATATGGAAATAAAGAAATAGAATTTCTTGGTAAATTTTATGGAGAAATTAAAATCATAGATGGAGATGAATTCCAAGAAATTATTCATAAAGATACACTTAATGAAGAATGGCCTTTAGTAAAAAATTTTCTCCGTTGTAATAAACTCACAGAAACAGGTTTTATTAATTTCTGGAAAAATATTTTTGATTCAAATGAGGATTTTTCATTTAATTATCCAAATATAGCTCTTCTAGTTAAAATAGCACTTATTATTCCTCTTTCAAATGCTAATGTTGAAAGAATATTTTCTCAAACAAAATTAATTAAGGATAAAATAAGAAACAAAATGAATATTAGCACATTAAATAAACATTTAATTATTAAATTAAATGGACCTGATATTGAGGATTTTAATTTTGAGAATGCATTTGAACATTGGATAAATAAAAAAAGTAGAAGAATTTTTTTTTAGAAGTAATTTTTGTAATTTAAAAAAAATAAATTGGAAAAAAATTTTTTTTTTAGTTGGATAATTTGGATGTGCGCAAAAAAATTCTTGCAGATTGAATTTCGAACACTGGGTGGGACCAACAAAACACGGTTCTCAAACTAATTTTTAATTTTGAGAAAATCACAAAAACAAAAAAGCCCCCTATTTTTAGATCTATGTAGTACACATTTAAATAAAAACAAGTTTTTAAACAAAAACATGACAGCGAACTTCGTGTCTTTTACTCACACAACGACATCACTCAGAGTCAAGACAATAATAGTCTATTTTATCAATTCAAAAAAAAATACAAATAGGGTGGTTGTCCCCAGATTTTTTTTCCATTTTTTTTTGTAGAGAAATTCCTCTCAGGCCATTTCAGCACACGGAACTCAACTTTCTACAACGTCCCTGTCCATCTTCAAGCAATTAAGTTTACAGATGATGAGCACATTCAAACCATGAAATCATTTATCATTACACAACGTTATACAAGATGGTCTAAAAATAAAAATACCACTGCGCTGAGTGTTTCATAGCATCAGAATAACAAAAATACACGATTCAATTGATTCAATCATTTATTACAGTCAAGTATTTTACCAAATTTGGAAATCGAATCTAGAAAAATTGGAACCCCCTTGTTGATCAATTCATATATG